TCAGCTGAGATCCATTGAGTGTCCTGAGGTTTATCAGGTTAGTGATCTGTAAATATTTTGATAATCGTGATGTACTCATTTGATCATGTGCCAACGGCACGTGAATTCAAATTAAATCATTTTTTTTCTGTCCGTAGTCTTTTTCGTAATCTTCTTCTACTGAATTCACTAGTCTCTCAGTATTAATTCTTTGCGCCACGAATTCTCATGCAAAAGGGGATGGAAAAATCCGATAAGTGGCTCAACAAAATTGTTCATTTCATAAAAAACGGATGACATGAATCAAGGATAATACAAATAGGATAAATAGTGTTAAGAACTGTTTAAAAATGCGAGGTGGGAGCGCCACCATCTTTGAAGGCTTCTGCGGCAGAGGGAGGTTCTTAAGCAAAATGGCGGCGTTCCGGTCGTGTTCTTTAACATTTGGGATACAAACTTCTCTCCGAATACTGGAGTTTACAGTTTAAGTTTTTTTCATTTTATTTTTCTTTTCTCCTCATTAAGAAAATGGAACAACAAAATTGAGAAATTTGAGCCGAGGAAATTCTACAGAAAATATCTTAACAGAATAAGTTATGTAGAAAAATCGAATTCTATTGAATATTTTCTATTGAACAGCCAAAAACTAATAGAAAGTTCAACACACGGAGAGAATTATTCAATTAAAATTACGTATCTTTTCCGTAATTCCGGAGCCAACTGTGGTTGTAGGAAATTTTACGGAACTGTCACAGAATTTTTCCGGAGCGTTCCGTAATTGTGATCTGAATCTCTTAAATTTTCTGAGTCGATTCCGTAATCGGTGAGTGAAGTGAGAGTTCCGTAAATTTACTGAATATTTCTCTCCGTGCAGAAATCCAATAGAATTTCCTTATCCAAAACCGCATTTCAGTACTTTTTTCTCTCACAATTTTTTTTTAAGAATTAGGATTTTTTCCCTGCGCAGGAATAAACAGTTCTGAATATAATTTTTTTGTTTACTCATCTGGACTTATTTATCAATTAAATCACCTATACGTAACATGGCATTTCAGAATTTTTTTGCCGCATTTTTTTCAAGAATTATGATTTTTTTCGCGGCGTAAGGCTAATTCCTTGAAAATGAACACTTCTTCTCCGTGAAATATTTGAAAACCTATATTATACATAATACATCGCCATCGCAATTTCATAAATCGATTCCTACGTGTCTACCTTGGATAGCAAATACCCACCACTCACCATGCATTTTACACCGATTCACGCTAAGTGAGTCCTTCGGGGCGCCTTTCCACATTCCCTTCCCAACTTTGACGAACGTGTGCAGTAAAATTCATGTCTGTCACGTAATATCGAGGACTATCTGTTTATGTCACAGCAAGATTCTCAGAACTTGTTTATTGAAAGGAGGAAAACGGAATAAATAATTGAGAGGAGTAAAAAAATACCCCAACAATTTCATTAGCTCGAGGTTAAGTGAGCAAAATGGAGTCAACTCAAAACGACTCTGCAGAAGTGTTTATCCTACTGGTGCATTCGTCATTAATTGAAATGATTAATTAATATGATTAATACGAATGCACGCTCATTGTATCTACGGACAATCCCGATTGCATATCAATTTACAAGGTGTCTCAGCGTCCTTCGTGGTAACATATCACTTTATTTACGAAAGTTTATACCATTGACAGGCAACTCCGATTTAAATTCATTGTTATTTATTTTCCTCTGTTCTCATTCGTAATGACTTTAGCCGTTCAAATAAGTTGATCGATACAGCTTTTATTCAGTCACTCGGTGGGGGTCATCCAATGTTGACCTCTGATGATTGCGGAACGGAAGATTTCGCGGAATTTGAGATTCTGAAGAGTTAATTTTTTTTTAAGAAATCGAAGGGAAATCGGCGTTTGAATGCGGATAAATACGGGAGCAAAGTATTTAACTGTAGATCATGAAACAGCTTGTTGACAGGATTGAGAGATACTTTATTTGTTAGGCAAGAAATTCTTGGGGGGTTTCTCCTCTTTCATGTTCGCGGAATGTTAACCGTTGGCATTTTCGCAACGGTTTATTTTTGTATTTGTTATTATTTCCAGTCTATTTGTGACGAAGACGTCTAAGTCGTAAGAATGTCTAGGGATAAAAGTCTGCTGACGACACGATCGTTCAGGCAGAATTTCACTGGTTGGGGTAGACTAGAGCGGTTGATGCTCAATAAATCGAGATCGGCATGGGATATTTTCCCATTTTTTGCTTCCGAATGGAAGCTCTGTAATCGACTTTTAAACCTCGTCACGTTCAAATGTAGGTATTGTTGAGCCCTATCAATCACCTTTAATTAAATTTTAATTCAGCGATTAGTTTTTTTAATTTTCGAATTTTTTCGAAAATCGGTTGTCCCATGGTAGATAAAAAAATGTTCTGAATTGAGTGAATGATGGCTTAAAAAATTTGTTCGGATGTCCTTTTGACTGAGTTTGAAGATGATGGCGATAGCAATAATTGTTATTTTTGTTTATTTGAAAATTTTCAAAAATTTTGTATTTTTTGAAAATGAGAATTCCGGGGATATCTTTGAATGTCATGCTTCAAATGAATTTCATCATAGCTTAAAATGTTTGTTTTAATGCCATTAAGTCGAAGTTAGAAGATGATTACGATAGCTATATTGGTTGATTTGATTTTTATGGTGATTGTTGAAAATTTCTAATTTTTCATGAATTTCCTTGAAAGCGAGTTTTCTGATGGTTTCTTCAAATGTGATGTTTCAAATTCATTCAAGTATGCATGAATAAAATTTTTCTATTAACATTTTATCGAAGGGCTGAGGGGAGAGATAGAACCGTAAAAAAAACAATCGGTTGTATAGAAGAAAGGGATAATAAGAATAATGATGATGATAACATTCAACTAAGTTGAAAATCTGACAAAATTAGTTGACAAAAATCTTATTCAATTTAATAAAGTGAAATGAACAATGAATTATACATGATAGAAGGAAATGATGTGCAACATAATCATTCGGAAGCCTATTGGTAATTTATTAATAAAAATAACTATACTATATGCAATGTAAGAGCAATTTGCCACTCGTTTTTTCAAGTATTTTTCCCACTTTTTTTGGCAGGTATTTTTTCAGGATTTAATTTGACAACTGAGTTATGGAGTGTTTGATGAGGCTCATTGTACCTCCGTTTTTTCTAATAATTTGATGTCAGAAGTTGTTAGAGATCAATCAAATAAATTAGATTATAGACTGACATTTTATTATTTGGCATATGTCGCCTCTCAGACGCTGTTTATATCTATCGTTTATATACAATGATGTCACGGACTCTAGGGAGAAGAATTTATGGCAACAATGGACGGAATATTAAATGCTTCTTTAGTCTTGCCGTTTCTCGTGACTTGGGAGATTATTTTGATTGAATTTTGGAGTAATTAATTAGGTGGTAATATTTATTTCGATTGAGTGAAATGGGGGAGTCATTCGTGAAAGGCATTCGACGTGAATAAATAATAAAAATTATTTTAATTATTATTATAATTATTAAAAGCATGACTTTTTTGATTTATGACTTTTTTGTAAAATTAATTCTGGTGAAATCCTGAAAATAAAAGCAATTTTACGATTTCGAAAGATGTGATAATTCAAAAATTGTATTTTTTGTCTTTTTATAAACTTTTCTTAACAAATCACTGTGCCATTTTTTACGGCCTTCGAGTACCTTTCGGGTTCCATTCGGCATTCCATTCAACCCTATGCATGCGGCTGTGGATTTTTCACTGTACCGCATTCGTCCTTCTATAGAACACAGGAGTAGCATAGGAAACCACAGGAAATCCATGCCGGTACAGGCGGTTACTCTATTAGCAACCTCCCGCTCGCCGGAGCCTCACGTTGAAAAATTCGGTTCCACTTGGGATCGAACTAGTAACCTTTCTCACGCTAGGCTTACGTCGAGCCCACTCGGCCACCGACGTCGGATTTTTTCTAATTTTTTTAGATACCTTAAATGTTTCTCAATGATTTCAAAATAGAAAGTTAAACTCATAAGTTCAAAGTTTGAATGGTGCAATCATTGTAAAATGTTCAGAAACTCAGAGGCAAATGGGGCCGAATGAAAGCTCTCATGTTCAACTCCACATGTTGGAGTGCATTTCTACAGAAAAAATTGACGAAGAACATTTTTAAATAAATAAATGGAAAGGCGTTTCGGTCAGTCCTAGGAGATGATAATTTTTTAAAGACAATCCTCTTAAATGCCTCGTCAACATCATCCGTAATACTATAAAAACATTCAAAGAACCCTTGATACATAAAAGTAAATCCTCGAATGTTGATAACTCGTACTAATCACCAGCGAGTTATACTCGTAATCTCAATTTTTTGTGATATTTCCTTATCCGTCACCGTTGCGTAAAAATCCTGCTCCTCCGTTTTTCAAATTATTCTAAACTATTTATAGAAAAATATCGTAATTTTAAAACAACGCAATTTAATAATTATTTTACAAATTTTCTTTAAAAAATAAACTTCATTTTGTCAAATTCAAAATAGAAAATAGAATTCTTTAAATACGAAAATCATTACAAAATTTCCGGAAACCCAGAGGCAAACGCGTCCCGAAATAAAAGCTCTCTTTTAACTTGACAAAATAGATAAAAATGAATAAATAAAAGATTTTATTCTCAACTCCACATGCTGGCAAAATTGTTCAAAAAAAATTGACCAAGTACTATTTCAAATAAATAAATGGAAAGGCTTTCCATGCGGTCCCTAAATCCAATGACAACATCATCATTAATACTACAAAAACATTCAAATAGCCCCCAACCCATAAAAATAAATCCTCGAATGTTGATAACTCGCACATATCACCAGCGCGTTACAATCGTAATCTCAATTTTTTGTGACGTTTCATTATCCACCACCGTTGCGTAAAAATCCTCCTCTCTTCGGGTGTCGACCACCACCACCGTGGCCCTCCTCTACTCCTCTTTAACGCGTGGCGCTCGCTCAGAGAGCGCATTACAAAGACCGAGTTTATGCCCAACTAACTTACAACGCGAGTTTCAGTTTGTAGCGTGCAACAGTAACCTCGCAACACCCATTTAATACCCGGATTGATGTGCCACACTTTCCGCCCGAGAGAGAAAAAAATATTCGCCAGCAGAATTTAAAAAGTCGTGACGTTCGATAAGTGGGTGGAATATATTTATAAATTTAATAACAGTGAACTTGACGCAAATCTTGGAACTGGCGTGTCGCAGAATTAAATATATTTTTGGACCTGGAGAGTTGGTTGACGTTTGGTTGGGCGAGGGTGGAGATAAATAAACACCGGTGACTGTTGATATTCGAAATTGAACGGTTGAGGCGCCAGTGGAGCGCTTCCGGAAGGATAAACAGCGGTCGTTGCACTTCCGGATCGATCGGGAAATCAATAGAGTGAGTAGAGCTGTTCGAAACGCATTTTCAGCCGATATCTGATGGCAGGGAGAGGAGAAATGGGTGTTGTGGCGATTGATGAGAGTGGGGAAATGTTTTTGTTATTATTAGACAAAATGCTCGGGTATATTCTTCGGGGAAAGGTGCCAAACTCGAATTCTCGGGCGCTCAAGTGATTTTCCATTGGATAGGTGTCGGAAATCCCGGGATTTCTCGTTAATTTTTGGACACTGCAGCGCAGTTGTCTGAGGGCGAGATGATTTTGCCCTCGGGGTGGTTAAGGAATTTTTTTTTGAGGAATTTTTTTAGTTGTCGACTTTTGCATTTTATTAGGACTTCTCATTTACAATTATCTTTTTATGTGAATTTTTTTTCACATTTTTTTATTAAATAAAATATGAAACTTGTGAATAATCTTGGAAGTATTGCTGTTGCGGTGTTTTTTCGGAAATATTTGAATTCTAGAGTGAAACAATTATTATTCATAAAAATAAATTAACAATTTTTTAATCTCTTTACTATACAAATGTTTCCAATTTTTGAAATATTTTTTAAATTTGAGTAATAAAACCCGATTGTCTGGCGCTCAAGTGAGTTTATATTGGGGAGTTGTAGGAAATCCCGGGTTTTCTCGTAAATTTTTGGCCACTGCGTCGCAGTTATCTGAAGGCGAGATGATTTCGCCCTCGAGGTGGTCAAGGGATCAATTTTTTTTACTTCAGGATTTTTTTGAGTTGTTGATTTTTCGTATGTTGATGAGAATTTTCACCTAAAATATTTTTTTTTCTGATTTTTTTCCAAAATTTCTTTATTAAATAAATTATGGAAATTGTTAATAATCTTAAGAATATTCTTATTGAGGTGTATTTTTTTTCTAGAAAGATGTTGAATTATTTCTATCCTAAAAAAATTATTATTCATAAAAATAAATTGACATTTTTTTAAATCTTGCTATTACATATTTTTTTCAATTAACGGATTTAATTATTTATTTTAATTGAAAAATTGTTAATAATCTTAGAGTCTCTTTTTGAGGTGTAATTTATATCTACATATATTTTAAATAATTTCCAGTCTGAAAAGAATTATTATTCATGCAAAAAATTAACAATACTTCAATTATTTAAAAACGAAAATCAAATTCAAATTCCGAAAAATTTGGCTAATAAAATCTTCTACGCGATTTTAACGCCAGAAAAATATACAAATTACTACAATTCAATTTTCGAGACTTTCTCACACGAATGTTAATGGAAAAACAATAACAACCGGGATAAATTCTAATTCATGATAATTCCAACATCTCTAAGGTTGACTTGCTGGGTCAATGGTAGGCCATCACATTTTCTTGGCACCATTAACACCGAAAGTGTAGCCGTGCACGTGTCTTCAGCGCCACATGTTTGTACATTTGTTTTCTCTCGTGGTATGTAAATTTTGAAAATATGTGGGAAAAACACAACAGAGATTTTTTTTTCTTTTTTAATTTCCAGGGTATTATTATTCTCATTTGTTGAGCATGAATGTTCATGCATCATTGATAGACTGAATGATGAAACAACGAGATATACTTGAGAAACAGACAATTTTTTTTTGAATTATTAATCCAGTTCGCACTTTATAATACTAATTTTGCAATTGACGTCGCACTGGTGGAATTATTAAAAAAAAAACCAATGAATCGTGCGTTATTTTTAGAAGGAAATATACATGCAATTGAAATAGGATATAAATGCATAACGACTAAAACTTCTATGTAAATGCAATTAATTTTTTTAATTGAAAAAGTGATTTCTAAAATTTCAATTCCTGATACCCCAGCAATGACTCACAATGTTTTACAGTTCTCTGGGACAAAAACTTCCTGTGAATAATTAATCGCTGATTCATACATCTCTAGTCAAAACAGACCATAAAAAATAATTAAAATCCATTAGTTCTGATGGAATTATTTAAAAAACCATTAAAGAAAATCGTTCATTATTTTTAGAAGTGAACAAAGATGTTATTGAAAGTGGGCATGAATGCAACAAAATTATCCTCCAACTATTTTTATTAAATAAATAAATGAATAAATAAATAAATAGATGAATAAATAAATAAATAAATAAACAGACAAATAAATAAATGTATTAAAAATTGAATATAAATGCAACTAAAATTTCCATGTAAACGCAATTAATTCTATTTGCTGAAAAAATGATTTCTAAAATTTCTCCAGCAATTAGAATGTTAATGTTCTTGACGAACAAAAATTCCCCATGAATAATCAATCACTGCTGCACACTTCTCTAGTCTCAATAGTACTTGACAAGTAATTAAAAGCTATTAGCAGAAATATAAACACTCGTATCCATAATTTAGCATTCCTCTCGGTGCACATGTCGAGACACTTGTTACGCCAGTCACCCTTACCGAGTACGTAACACACATACGTATCTCTGTGTCACGGGCAGAACCTTGATTGTCGATTGTGTATTGACGAGACATCGGCCACTGCATTATTGAAATTCGAATACACCGAGGAATATTATCGACTTGCGGTTGACGATCGACGACGGGAGGGACATTGTCCGGGCAATTCCGAAATATTTGATGCGCATGTCAATATTCACCGTTGATACCTGCAAGCTCTTGAATATGTGTCAATGGAGAGAATGCATTTTCATTTATTGCAGAACTTGCGAACTTGTTCTTCCTCAGAACAAGAAGATGATTTGGGATTTGTTTTTGATGAAAAAATATTTTTAGTTCATTTTTTTTTGGGAATTTTGTTAATTGAGCCGGAGTTAGGGTTGAGTGGTCAATGGAGGGAATAGAAATTCTATTTCACGGTTTTAGTGGGCATTGTTCTTAGGATAACAAATTATTTACTCAATTTTAGGAGGAAAATGTCGAAAATTGAATAAATTCTCAAAGACAGTTATGATTAATTTTATTTCATGTGGGAATTGCGCTGAAAGTATAACTATTTACGTTTTTAAAATGAAAACATTTAAAAGGGTTCAGAATTAATTGAAATTTTATATGAAATTTTAAGGAAATTTCTTATTAATTTAAAATAATAGGAATTGAAAATTGTAAGTTTAGGATTAACTGAAAATTAATTCGATATTAATTGAGACTAGGCATTAGGTGATGTATTTTTAAGTACAAAGAAGCTGTGAATTAAGATGGAATTATAAATTGTGGAGATATTTGGAGAGAAAAATCATCAATTCGAGAACGAGAATTTATTTAATCTAAAAACTCAAGTGTTCTGCATTCAAAAGCCAAAATTTCCTTGAAAGAATTTGAAATTTCGTTTAATTGACGAAAAATTAATGCATTAAAACATCAATAAATCGTGAGATTTCGCGAGAATTTCAAAATTCAAAATTTTATAAACTGTCAAAGACATTTCCAAATTTTCGGCTCACCAGAACAAGACACCTACTTTTCCCGGACTTGAAAAAAATTGTGTGCAAATTTGACATTCGATTAGCGGAACGATCGACACATGTCAAGATAAGGATTTCGCCGCACGTGCGGGAGGTTCGAAGAGTCACTCGATATCGCTAAATCATGTAACGGCAATATAAATACATGTGCGGTCAATTTTAACTGCCGGCTTAGTAGTGAGTAGCTTCTTATCAAGCAAATATTGTAAAACAAGTCCTGCACGCACTTCCACAATTTTTTTCATCATCCATTCGGCGATCTCGTTCTCAACGGCATTCTCTCCGACAACCGGATCAATCACGACTATTGAATATGAATGAAAAATGTGGGTATTCGACTGCTCGAGTATTTTTTAATTGCCAAGAATTTGTCGGGGTGGAGTGGAGGAAAGTCGAGACGCGAGTCGGGCTTATCAGCTGTTGTCGTTACAACACGTCATCGTGTGGTCGTTTTCTGTCGATTTAAATCAGCCGGAATGGAGGAAAATTTTACTACATAACGTGAAAAATCGGAAGAATTATTTTCAAGAAGAGCAGGAAGATGATGCGTTTATTTTCGACGAAAAAAAAAAATTCAGTAATTTTTTTTTCTTTTTTTTTAAAGAAAATTTTGTTAATTGAGCCGGAGTGAGAGTTGATGGAGAGAATAGAATAGAATGGAATAGAATGATGTGGAGAATTGAAAAATCCATTTTCACGAAGAACGAGAAGATGATTCGGTTTTTGTTTTAATCGAAAAAAAATTACTTAAAAAAAAATTGTTAATCTAAAATTTTTGAGCGCGAACTTCCCCTTTGCTTCGAGTGCCTAACCTACCCGACTAAATCCACGATGCACCTCCCACTCAATTCCACAAATATTAATCAAACGGGAGTACGAGTCACACCGTCACAGGAGATGAAATACGATTAACTATTCAATAACGACCAATCTGCCGCGTGAATGGATAATCGTCGGAGATGAGCTATAAATAGTACATTCGACATCTCCTACATCCCAAGCTCCAGGGATGCAAACGCGCCTCAGAAATAGCCAGACAAATAGTTTCGCAGTGGTGAAATGAAGGAGGGAATTTCAATGGGAGAAGCGAATTTTTCGACATTTTACACAACTCCATTTTGCGAAGCGCAAAATGCGTGAATTTCCAGATATTTGAATGCATTCGGAAATATTTACCGACTAATTGCATTCAACTGGTCATTTTAACATAACGCAAATCATTATTTAGTTGAAAATTATTGGACAAATTATCAGAATTATTAATTTATTAAATTTTTTCAATTGAATGGGAAGAAAAAAAATTGAAAAAATAATTTTTTTCTAATGTCACTGATATTTTACATTACATTCTTGACATTGGGTATCTTTTAAATTATTTTAAATTTTTAAAAATTTCTATTACAAATTAAATAAATTAATAAATTAATAAATTGATATTTATAATAGTAATTATAATAATAATAATATTATTATTATTATTATAAATGTTTTAAATTTAAATATTAAATTTATCAAATTTAATTACATTAAAAAAAAATATTCTTTTTTTTTAAATTTATATTTTCAATCACTCCATTTTAATAAATCAATTAAAAACAATTAAAAATCAAATGTGTGGTTGAATAAAATTTTAATTTAGATAAAGTGTTCTTCTGGGTGTGTATATCTCACACATTTCGCCTTCCTCTCATTCATATATTTAATATGTACACCTGAATAAACTTTGTCAATCCACCCCCGATAAATTTCCAACAGCGCAAAAAGCCCACGTCTCCTCCATGGACCCACGTGCATCGCAGGTCCCGCCACAATCACACGTATGGACACACACGCAATTAGTCGGCGCCATTGATAACAGTAATTTGCGATGGAAGTAATGACAGTCCACTCGCTCGTGCGAGATCATTAAATTCATCCCAGTTTAGTCCGCAGACCTTTCCCTCACTTCCCACCATCGCTGGAATATTTTCGTCCCATTCTTACGATTCCACCCGATATTTCGACACATTCAGCGCAATTATTCATGCGGCATTATCAGTCATTAAACCTGGCCTTTGAGATTTCTCCGGGGATTCATTGAATTCTGAAAAAATTATACAATAGTTATCGACTTTTTTCCCCTCTAGCGATGGTGAAACGAGGGAAATTACTGTAATTAGCTTCTATTTGTTGTATCTCCCACTCGAATGACTCGATATGTAAGTCAGTGGGGTTAGCATCGACTCTATCTATCAATTCTCCCCAATTGGCGCAGTGGAAGATTTATCGGAGCGGACTGATTAATTTTGGAAAATTTTACACCACTATCTTAACATGGTAATCGTATTCCGGTGGTCACGGACAACATGTATTAATTATCAATGCAGACAGACTTTGGGAATCGATGAACCTGTCAATTAAATACAGCCGTTGATTTTGGGGAAGTGCTGTATTTTTAGGCACGATAAAATTGACCGCAGCGGACTTTTATTCGGGCTGGTATCGTTCGGTGGAATGACCTGAGAGTCATTCCGGGAATTGAATACATTTTTCAAGAGAATTTTAATTTTTTGCTTTCTAATGAAAACTTTGTAAACGTTCAAATTTAAGTTTTGGATTTTCAAAAAAAGATTCAATTCCACTAAATGGAATTGTATCTTTTTTTTAATGTTGAGCCCTACCAATCGCCATTAATTAAATTTTAATTCATCGATTATATTTTTAAATTTTCTTTCTAAAATTTTTCTATTAACATTTCATCGAAGGGCACGCATTTGCACGCATATTACTAATGTATTCGCAAAAATAAATATTATATGCAATACGAGAGCAATTTCCCAGTTGTTTTTATTCAATTCCTTGTTTCGACATTTTCGAGGAATTTTTTAAATCATTTTGTTATTGAAAATTTAAAATTTTATGGAAAACACTACGAAAATGGTAAACTTTAAGAAAATTAATTTATTTCAATTGAAAATCAATGCAATTCAACTGTATAAAATTTCGATCTTTTCTACTAATGTGAATCAAGATGAAATCAACCGTTTTTGACATATTCACTTGAAAAATTGAGTGGGCGTAGGGGACGGTGGGGCAAAATGAAACACGGGGCAAAATGAAACAGCAAGAAAATCTTGTGATCTAAGGGAGATAGGAGGATTTTCATGAAAACCTTTTTTGTAGAGAATTTTACAAGCTACAAAAAAGGTCCTCTTCAAAAATGTCCTATCTCCTTTAGATGACGAGATTTTCCCACTGTTTCATTTTGCCCCGTGTTTCATTTTGCCCCATGCTCCCCTATGAAAATGGTACATAACTGAAACGGAAATGTCACATGAAGGATCGTGTTATCGCGCGATCTGACATTCAACACTTGCTTATCCCATCAATTATAAAAGATGCCCTCATTTTCCATAGATAATGAGGAGAATTAACTCAATTAATTGAGTCTCAGGGAAAAGAAGCCTTTTATCACCTCAAATGCAGTGAATTACCCATATCACCTCGGAGAAACCTCAATTATCGCTGAGAATCCCTCGGCAGTCACTAATACCCCGATAATGAATTAATCCCAACCAATTTACGATTTCCAAGTGCTTTAACCATTTTTTAATCTGAAATTCGTCTGAAAATTTGTTGTTCATACATTAGCAACGATTTTTTTAATTGAAAATTTGAAAATCTGAATTTTGTTCTCCATTTTTTTTCTCTGGAAAAAATTGTGAAAATAGGAAAAATAAATTTGAAAAGCCATTTTTTAAAAGAACATTCATTACTGAACAATTCCAATTTCCGAACATTACTTTTTTATAATAAATAACTTATAATTAATCAACTCTTTAACCGTGACATTTTTTTTTTCCAAACCCGAAATTTTCAAAATTTTTAGAAATAAAAACGAATTGGAATTCTGAAAATGTAAACAATGTCAATTATTCAATTAAAAGCAGAAGACTAAAAAAAGGACGAGTTTCTTCCTAAATAAAATGGATGATCCACAATTTTCTCAAAATTTTGAGAATATTAAAGAAAAAATTAGTCTACTTTTTCAAGAAAGATTGATTATTTGAAAATTACAATTCAAAACAATTACATTTTCATTATAAATGATTTATAATTATAAAATCTCCGACCGTAAAATCTTTTTTTTTCTAAAACAGAAATTTTCAAAAAGTTTAGGAATTGAAAAAAAAACGGATTTTTGAGAGAGATAACAATTTTAATTATTCATGTGACAGAGCAATTAAGGAGGAATTTTTCCCTGAATAAAACTGATAATCCACGAGTTTCTTCAAATATTCCTCACTCAATTTGCCAACGCAGATAAATCTAAATCCCTTGAACTCTCCCTAATTCCTATACGACTCAAAGATCTTCATTAACTCCATTACGACCGATTCAACTCAAGCAAGGATTTTCATATTCATACCGACAATAAACCCACTTCTGCACTCCATATCTCATAAATGTTTTATTTATCATAAAAGACAGCAAAGCCAGTAATTTGACGCGCCACCGAGCGACTGCAGAATGCAGACTTAATATTCCTGAAAGGGATTACCACAAACACCAACCATAATTTCCCACCACATGTTATCAATCTGCGTCATTACTTAGTCATTCTGTCACAACATATCTTACGCACAGAGTGATCTGTTTGCTGACCGTTGGCTGTTTTGCTCCCCAATACGAGGCGCGAAAAAGAAAAGTGAATGTGTGAGAATTTCCGCGATTCAATTGAACAATAAAAAAACAAATCCATTAAACAAGGAATCATTCATGTTGCAGGCATTGAGGAAAAAAACTGCATCATCGAGTGATAAATACCGAACACTAGAGAGAATAGTGAGGGGTCGGCACTGCCCGGTGATATGAAGAATATTCAAACCAATGGATATGGTACGTTTTATCAATTTAACTCATCATCACATATGAAAAAATATAATTCGTCAATAAAATTCTAATAAAACTTCATGCATTCTGTCCTTTTTGACGGTTCTTTTCACTTCGCTAACCCCTCACTAGGAAATATATGATTTTCAATACTAGTTTTATTGAAATTAAAGCCATTTAGAAATTTCATTTTAATTGTTTAACTGCCAGGGAAAATGTTGACAAGTTAAATGCCTCAATACTCTCTCCTCAAAAATCTTTTAGTTTCTGTTAGTTTCTTCACTCTATTTTGTATGTTAGACTATTAGCTCTTCGTTGTATTCTTCACCAGTTATCAATTCCTGTTCATTTTATGATGCCAAATGCAAAAATACAATTTACATCGCGTATTAAAAAATATAATTCTAATAAAACTGCATGCATTCTGTCCTTTTTGACAGTTCTCTCCACTTCGCCATGAAATTGAAGCCATTTATAAATTTACTTTGAGTTGTTTAACTGCCAGGCGAAATATTGGCAAGTTAAGTGCCTCAATACTCTCTCCTAAAAAATCTGTTTCTGTGTATGATAGAGCATCTGTCTCCACCTTTCACTCCGCTAACTTTTCGTTGTATTCTTCGCCAGTTATCAATTCTCCTTTATTTTACAATGCCAAATGTAAAAATACATTTATACTAGTACATATCTTACATGGTTTTTATATTATTGCCCACCTGCAATGGGGCTATGTATTTTACATACAGAAATAAATAAATAAATAAATAATAATAATATTTCAAAAGAATTCTTATAAAATTGAGATAGAAATCTAACAGAATTTCTTAGAGAAAGTGTTAGGTTTTTCTATTAAATTTTTTTATACGTGATTGTTTATTATTATTACTAAACCATTAAATCATTAATCATTATTATTGTGTATTATTCATACTCATATCCTTTCGAGGAACAGAAAATTCGCGAATAATAACAGTGCATCGAAGGTCTTACTGACCTTTGCTTCGGGTGTTTGAGTGCGAAGGTCACTTTTAGGTCTCAAGGACTCTCATTTCACAATGCCTAAAGAGAATAAAAAAGTTATACCCTTTCGTTATCAGATGAGAGCTAGATTATGAATCATAAAACTTATCAGGGGAAACGTTTTTAGGTTTCGCGTGAATTTCGTAAAACGAGATTAATTAGGGTCTGACTAGACAGTAGTCAAACTCGACGACTGATAAAGCGTTTTTACTGATGTCATGTGACGTAAATATGAATCACCCATGTTTGATGCTGGCGCCAACGGTTGATGAAGTGTTTGGAATATTTGATGAGTGTTAAGATGTAAATATTGCGGGTTTTTGAACCAATTGCCTCAAAAATTTTCCCTGATTTCGGAACGCTGAAAGACGAATTAAGGTGCTACAAGAATGGTGGCAAGAGTCATAAGGGTCGGAAGACCCTTATGACCGTTTTGCCTGCTCTTCCGTTTGACCCTCATCCTTATTTCTTCCGTTTGACCCTTATTATTGTTCTACTCGTCCCTCCTGTTTGACCCACATGAGTTTTCCACTCACCTCTCCCGTTTGACCCTAAAGGCCGCCCGCTCGTCTCTCCCGCTTGACTCTTATAATTACTCTAGTTATCGGAAGTCAAAGGAAATCGCCCTTGGATTTGCCTATACTATCCTATATGGAAACGTAGAGAATATACTCGACGCTCACTCCAAGTGCCACAAAAAATTGACCCCATATTTTGGAACATTGGAAGACAAATGAAGGTTCCACAAGAACGGCAAGAAGGGTCAAAACTGTCATAAGTGTCAGAACCTCATTACGAGCAGAACAATCATAAGGGTCAAACGGAAGAGACAAGCTGAAAGATTGACCCTCATGAATATTCTGCTCGTCTCTTCCATTTGACCCTTATGATCGTTTTGCCCTACTCTTCCGTTTGACCCTTATGATTGTTCTCCTCGTCCCTCCTGTTCTCCACTCATCTCGTCCGTTTGACCCTCAAGGCCGTCCGCTCGTCTCTCCCGCTTGACTCTTATAATTACTCTAGTTATCGGAAGTCAAAGGAAATCGCCCTTGGATTTGCCTATACTATCCTATATGGAAACGTAGAGAATATACTCGACGCTCACTCCAAGTGCCACAAAAAATTGACCCCATATTTTGGAACATTGGAAGACAAATGAAGGTTCCACAAGAACGGCAAGAAGGGTCATGTGGGTTAAAACTGTCATAAGTGTCAGAACCTCATTACGAGCAGAACGATCATAAGGGTCAAACGCAAGAGACAAGCTGAAAGATTGACCCTCATGAATATTCTGCTCGTCTCTTCCACTTGACCCTTCTGATCGTTTTGCCCTACTCTTCCGTTTGACCCTCATCCTTATTTCTTCCGTTTGACCCTTATGATTGTTCTCCTCGTCCCTCCTGTTCTCCACTCATCTCTTCCGTTTGACCCTCAAGGCCGTCCGCTCGTCTCTCCCGCTCGACCCTTATGATCGTTCTAGTTATTCGAAGTCAAAGGAAATCGCCCTTGGATTAGCCTATACTATTTTATATGGTGAAGCAGAGAATATACTCAACATGTCTCTTCATGCAAATGTAACGCTGCCTTCCCACTCATTCATTCGCCATTCATTCTTTTTATCAGGACTCCAACATTCATGACTGGAAAATAAAACAAGAGCCGAATAGGGCAGCCGCGTAAAAAACCCCTGAAATAATGAACGTGACGCAAAAATGTGGGGCAATTTTTTCATGTTTTCGTGCATATCATAAAAATTTCATCAATTTATTTCCGTACGGAAATTCTGGAATTAAAAAATTTACCTTGATAACTTGACCAATAAATTTTCTAATAAATTCTCCTCGTCAGATCACATCACAACTGCCCGAGAAGATCCTAACAACCACAAGCAGTCCTTTATAATTCAATAAATCTCGCACTGGCGTCGCTCACCTTCAATCCAGTCCAGTTGTTGTTGAGAGTAACACGTATCATTCACATCTCAGAATAGAGTAACAAAGCCACAGTATTATCCAACTATTCATGACGCTGATTATCAAGCCGTATGCAGACGTATACTTTGGGAAAAATGTGGAAAACATTGAGCCCATTTGCTCTTTGTCAATAACAGAATTATAGCGCAAGTGGAATATGTGTGTCAAATATCGCAACTTTGTGGCGATACATCACTCCTGCAGCCTTCTAGGAAAATAACCTTTGAAAATGAAGAATGTGGATCTGTGCGGTTATTTGATGGGTTTTTTCTTCGAAGTGGAAGCATTTTTCTTCAATTTTTAAGAAAAAACAGGAACACAATGACACTGCTTATTTTTACATGCCATCAATCTTCAGAAATATGTGAAAATATATATCTTATCATTAAAAAAACATTTCTAGTGAATTTTTATTGAACTTCTATTGAAAATTCTGTTAGTTTTGAATTCTATTGGGAATTCCGTGGATTTATTGCGATTTTTTTAATAGAACATATCCAATTGCATTATTTGATAAAAAGAATCAGTGGAATTTCATCGTTCGACACAACATTTTCTATAGAAATTCCCCGACACGAATTTTCTACGATTTTTCCACTCTATTTTTCATCTTCTCTAATTGAAAAAATCCAACGAAAAAAACTTGATAATTTGAACCGAAGAATTTCTATAGAAAATATCTCAATAGAATAAATGATCCACAAAGATCTCTCACTACCTATTTTTTCCATAAAATATTTTCCATTAAACATTTCTGCTGGAAAAAAACGAGGAAAATAATTTCGAAAATGAATAGAATGCGCTAATGAAATTTTTTCGTACGCGAAATGCAAAACCCTGTCTAGAGCCAACGATCTATATTCAAGTGATAATGAATCATAAAAACATCGAATGGAATTCATTCAATGCAAAAAAATCATCGGATATCATCATATCACAGCTTCTGACGTCTTTTAAACTCATAAATCTCCCGAAAAAACAACAAATATTCCCCACATCTGAATAGATCATCGTGGAGCCCCTAGACAAACCCAAACATCAGACCAACGATTAAAGTTCGCTTCAAAATGACGAAATGACGGCCGTCATCTGAGCTTCAAGCAAGGTCTGAGCGCCCTCTCCCCACAACCACTTGCACTCTCGCAAATCCGTGAGTCATTGGCGTCTAAACGATCGTTCCACCGATTCGCATGTTACATTCCACTGGCCAATCCCAGTTGCTATTGGCGACGCACACCCACTGCTCCGTCCACTCAGAATGCCCAGTCGCAATGACGTAAGAGGCACTCCTACCCTCAGTCATCGTGTGAAGTTTAACATTCCGATAATGAACAGACACGTGTCGATGGAATTGTACGAGCTAAAGATCACTTATCGATTTATTTCTCTTAAATCTGAATCAGGAGATGAATGCCAGATTGATAAATCGGTTATTTGATGTTTTTTAGTTGGAGATGGTTAATCACTCCAGTTGAACTCACTTTACACATTTTATTGTTTGGGTTTCGCCTGGAATGATGCAATCAAATTTTCCTCGGGATTTTTCTCTGGAAAAATTAATCATGAGGAAACTTTTGTGGGAATTAGCAAACATTATGTCTCGCTCGAGAATTAATAAACTACTTCAGTTATTATTCATATCATGTAATGGACACAGAGAAAAAATCACCAAACTATTTTAACCATCGGCCAGTTATCGACTAATATCCCCAAATCTAAGGGAGATAGCAAAATTTTTGTCAAGAGCTTTTTTGCAGCCCCCAATTCTCTCTACAAAAAAAGTCATGACAAAAATTTCATTATCTCTCTTAGATTCGGAGATATTCCTGAAAAACTCAGCTAAGTGTTAGATCGACTTAAACCGTTTTACCGCTTCGCTGAAATTAGCTCCGCGGAAAAACTATGTTCCGAGTGAGAATATTTGACGGAGTGAAACAGATTTACTCGAGGGAAATTAACCAACTTGATAGAAGAAAATTTAATATCTTTCACAAAAAATTAAATTTTCGTCGTGATCATCAGGAACATCCCTAGAAGAATTCCAACAGTTGGCAGAAAAAAATATAATCTATTGTACGACAATTATTTGATCTGAGAAAACTCCATAGGTTTATACCGTAGAAAGAATACATTAACGAAGGAAGAATATTTTTTTCCCAAAAAAATGGTTCCCTCAAAATTATTTAGTTTTGCCGATAACACAGTTTTCGAAAATAAAATGGTAGTTTCCTCTTGAAATTATCATTTGTTCCGTGGAAATTATAAGAGTTTATTGGACAAAGATATACACTACTCAATAACATTGACTCGATAAAACCGGAGCCTCATATAATTCTCTGCAGAACGAATGTATTTACCCAAAAGACATAATTGTCTCACGAGACCAATTACTACAGCGAAAATTATCATGTTTCGGTGGAAACTTTCTGTTTTGTCCACACGTAAAGTGATTCAACACGACAAATATCTCTTCCGGAAAATGTTGCATTCAAAAAAAATCTCGGATTTGAAGAAATTATCTATGTCGAACTTATCATTTTCTTTTATCCTTTATTCTTTATCAATCGATTTATCTATGTTTATGTGCCTTGAGAAAATGTCACTGAATAGATAGACAAGACTTGCCAGGCCTTGAACTGTCTGACGGACCGCGAAAGAATCAGTCGTGCTCCGAGACCAAAGTCTCTCGCAAGTTTCACGAAACCGATCTCCATTGAACGCCGAAACTCAGGGAGTGAAATAAACCGAGTGAAAAGTTCTCGTGAACGTCAATGGGGCACGCAATCCTCGACTAATCAGGAATTGCGTTAACATCGAGCCACTTCACATGGAAACATCGCCGTTAATTCCGAAAACACGACGTGAGTCTGATCTGTTTGTCATTCAAATCGAATTACGAGTGTTGGGAATTTATGAAAATTCATTGAGCCAGTGGTTTTCCCCGGGTGAGTTCAATTAGTTCTTGTGGACTTTGGGATGTAGGACAGGATGTTACGTGCACCGGGTGGACAGCATGTCCGGGAAAAATCGCTTTGTCAGTTTATCGTGATCAACTCGGGCGATGCTAATGTCACGAAATTTCAATGGGCAATTTTTTGGATGGAAACAACTGTCAAATTTGATAACTCCGGGGCTGAATGTAGATTATCGGTGGCCAGAGGTCGTGGGGAGTTGTTTTTAGATTTTTCGGATATTTACAAAACGTTTTGTATACGAATACTATCTGTGAATAATACCCCACCACATGGGATAAATATAGACTCATTTTTCGGGTGAAACAATTTTATTCTTATCATTTTCAGTAATAATATTTCATTTTTATGAAGAATTCGGGCTTAAAATTTTTGTGTTCTTGGATTTGAATATTTTTTTAACAATAGATAATTTTTATATTTATTATTGAAAAAAGTATTGTCATATTGAACAATTTCTTGAGATGATATATAAATAAATAAATAAATATTTTAAAAACCAAGTAACTAGTTTATTTATAACGATAACATTATTATTTTATAATTGCAAATAAATATTCATTGATTTATTTCAATATTTATTTATAATTATAAAATAATAATGTTATGGTTATAAATAAACTAGTAAATAAATAAATATTTATTTATTTATTTTAATATTCGGAATTTCGGGATATTCATTCCGAAAATGAAAAAAAACATTTTTTATTCAAAAAATTTCTGTTCACTTCCGGTATTATTTTCATTTCCACTACCCCTTTAACGTCATTTCCTCGTCCTTGCCTCGATAATTCCAATGACCCTTACTATGAAATCCCAAGCCTGCGCATGCGTTATTCAGTCACAATTTAAAAGTTCCAATCGCCCGGATCAAACAAAACAAAAGTGAAAATGCCTCGAGCACCAGCGGAAAGTAATAACACTTTTTCTCTCATTACAGCGGAAGTGAACGGTAAGAATGTCGTCAAAGAAAAGGATCAGAATGATTACGAGGAAGTTGACGCTATCCAGGAGGCAATGGGTGCCCTCGGAAGGTGGCAAATTTTCATTTGCCTGGCAATCTCCCTCGTTAAATTTCCGGTAGCATGGCATCAGCTGGCTATTGTATTCATGGCCCCACTGAACCAGGGATATAATTGCACGAGTCCAGTGCGTTCGCTAACGAAGGACCAGTGTCTTGTTGATGTAAATGGTACTCAAGCGCAGTGTGACAAGTGGGATTTCGAGAGAACAATCTTCCCGGAGACCATAATATCGCAGGTAATTATCACAGGTAATTAATTGTTCACTGGTACGTTAATTAGTTACATGTGGTCATGCGAATTATGTCGTTTCAGTGGGCTTTGGTCTGCAGTAGGTCACACTATGCCAATATACTGCAGTCAATACTCATGTTTGGTATTTTGCTGGGGAATATCACGTTTGGAAGTTTGGCCGATAGGTGAGCAACGAGTAATACATTATTCATGAGAATAATGTAATTGAAGTTATGAAAATAATGACATTTGTAATATATTACCGGTGGAAATCAGAGATCATAAATTTATTTTATTACATGGAAAATTTGTTGACTGTATTTTCAAATTTTTTAATTTTCATTCAATTAATCAGTAATCGAATTTTTCAATTTTTTAAATATTTTATGAATCAGTAATCAACTTCGTAAGAATAACGATTATTTGATTAATCGACGAAATCAAATTCAAAAATTTGGAATTAATTGTTTAATTATATAATTGAGACCCACCCCAACGAAAATATATCATCTAATGTAATGAATAATTAACCAAAACCAAACGTGAACGAAATGTACCAATTTTTTTACTAAAGTCGCTAAGAGCCTCGTTCCCGATGCAACTTTAAGCAAATAAATTGAAAAAAAAAACGAAATTTTGAAGATACAAAAATATGCGAATAGTCGACGAAATTGTTCTTATTCAATAAAGTTTCATGCCATGTGCCTGATAATTACGATATTTTCGTAGATTTGGTCGTAAAATTCCGTTGATGATCTCAGTCATCCTCCAGTTAGCATCTGGAATCGGGTGTGCCATAGTCCCCTGGTTCCCAGCTCTACTAGTTCTGAAATTATTATCGGCCATGGCAACAGGAGGAACCATGGTCACTAGTTACGTAATTTGTAAGTAGTAAATCCCCTCATTCACAAATAATTCCTCCGTCTAAAACGCCATTCGAATCCTCATTTGTATTCAATCAAATATAATAATCCCGATGCAATCCAATCTTTGATCCATTTCCTCACACTCCTTCCGTGCCCATTCAAAAGTAGCATTCATCCCCGTAACGAATGCATGTCATTAATTTAAATTATTCTGACTGTTCTTGTTCCAGGTATGGAAATGGTTGGTACTCAGTGGCGAGCTGCAATCACAGTTCTTTATCAGATACCATATAGTTTAGGTCACATGTCATTAGCAGGAATAGCCTTCTACTTTCGTCACTGGCAGCATCTCCAATTAGCTATTACTCTACCATCGATTATTCTCCTGGGATATTGGTGGGTTGTGCCGGAGTCCCCTAGGTGGCTGTTGGCTGTTGGCAAACAACAGGCAGCCTCCAAAATTCTGAGGAAAGCAGCTGGAGTCAATAAAACTGAGGATAAGGACATTCCCGACATGGTCCGGAAGCATTGTCTGCATGCTGTAAGATTTCATTCTTGTATTATTTTACTTTTGAGAACACTAGGCAGAGGCGGCGAAACCATAGTGGAGTTCATTGGTCGCTCCATACTCTCAAAAAATTGAAAGAAAAATAATTGTTTTACAATTTTATCAAAACTGTATTTTTTTTTCAATGATCGACTGAGTTGGATCTAGATAAAATTTTCGATGAATTGATCTCACGAAAGTAGAGAAGAAGAGGCCTGTTTGCAATGTCAGCTCTAAAGTCTGATATACTAATTAATAAACAAAATAAGTGAAAAGTATTACTCCTGATGATCCCGCCCGTCTATCCCGGTTGACCCTCGTGACCCTTGTAATTCCAGAAAAATTTACTCCACACCTCAAATTCTCACGTTCCGCCGCCCGTGACACTAGGAAAATTAGCGCCTGAAATTCAGGCAATTTCGTGTCAAATTTTCTCAAAAATCTTGTTTCAAACTTGTGATGTCTCATTTGTTTTTCCAGTAATTCATTCATTTTGTCGGAATGATCTAATTCATTAATTCTCATTATTAGAATTCGAGGAAGACAGCATCAGATCACGGGGCCTCGATCCTAGACCTCTTCAGAACCCCCAACATGAGGATAAAATCCTTGGCGATATTCTTCAACTGGGCCGTATGCGGAATGGGACTGTTCGGCATGACCCAGTACATCGGACAAGTCGGTGGCGATATTTTCCTGAATTTCGCTGTCTCTGGGGCCACTCAGATACCCGGGAACTTTGTTGCATGGTGGGCGATGAATAAATTGGGAAGGAAGATAACTCTTATCGTTAGTAATGGTGTTGCTGGTACTGCAGCGCTCCTCTTAATCATAGCGCCACAGAGTAAGTTTTCAGAATTTAACGTTAGTGTTTCATGTTTAGTACGTGAATCAGAGTGGAGATGGCTTGTGGATTTATTGTTCTTGGGTTTTTTTAATGCTTACGGTAGAGTGGGGACAGAACACAGTAAAGGTAGTGCATCTGGTAATTCTGGACATCTAGATGAACGAACTAGTAAATGAACAATGAAGGACGAGTTATTGCACTCAATATCATGGACATTTCATATGAAATCTTTTTTGTTTCAACCTTTTATTAATGAAAATATCAACTTTCTCGAAATATTTCATAATATAGTATGCCATGATCTTCGTTCATTGTTTATACACAAAAATCGATCCATTTTCTTTATTTTTCAGCCTTCCCCATATGTTTTATCGTACATTTTCTCTGTAACAATCATATATTTTGTACTATTTGGGCTTATTTTGTTTATATTTTTTTCCATTTGGTCATTCACTGGTTTCTAGAACTAACGAATATTAAGAACAAGTTATCACGCAGAATATCATGAACATTTCATTCGAAATCCTTTTTGTTTCAACCTTTCATTAATATAAAACACAACTTTCTGTGAATATTTAATGATATACTGTACGATAATCTTCGTTCATGATTTATACATAAAAATAGATCTATTTTCTTCATTTTTTAATCTTCTCCATATGTTTTATCGTACATTTTCTATGTAAAAATCATATATTTTGTACTATATGGGCTTATTTTGTTGATATTGATTTCCATCTGTTCATTCATTTGTTTTTAAAAATAACGTATAATTGAAAGTGAGTTACTGTGCAGAATATCATGAAAATTTTATTCGAAATCCTTTTTGTTTCTTTTTATTAATGAAAACATTAATCAATTTACTCAAAATATATCATAATATACTGTACCATAATTATTGTTCATATATGTTTACGCCAAAATCGGTTGATTTTCTCCATTTTTTTATCTTGTCTATACGATTTCTCATATAGTTTCAGTGTAAGGATCATATGTTTTGTACTGGTTTTTAGGAGTAATGAATAATTAAGAATGAGTTATTGTGTAGAGTATCATAAGGGTTTCATTCGAAATTCTTTTTGTTTTCTCTTTTTATCAGTAAAAAAATCAATCCACTTAAAATATATCCTAATATACTGTACAATAATCATTGCTCATGGTCCATACACAAAAATCGGTCAATCTTCTTGAGTTTTTTATCTCAAAAATCATATATTTCCGGTTATACAAGCTTATTTTTTGTATTCCCTTCAATGCATTCATAGTGAATGAATGCAATTTTTTCAACTGACTCTTCGAAAATTAATCGACTTCAATTTCTTCTAGATGCAGCATGGCTCAGGTTAATTTTCGCTTGTTTCGGAATTGTTGGCATGTCAGTCTCGTTCACGACAGTCTATTTGTTTTCCGGTGAACTCTTTCCAACAGTCGTAAGGAATATCGGAGTTGGGACAAGCAGCATGTGCGCCAGAATTGGATCAATGGTTGCGCCATTTATAGTTTCACTGGTGAGATAAATATTTTTACTGGAATTGAGAAAAACTGGGACGTCGGTTCTCATTGAAGAAATTCAATTGCACTTCAGTCTCTTGATTATTTCGTTTTTCATTCATGCTTCAGAATTTCGTTCCTTGGCTGCCACCCGTTTTTTTCGGGACATTTCCACTTGTGGGTGCAGCTCTTGTACTATTACTGCCAGAAACTAATGGATGCACGTTACCGGAGACACTTCAGGATGGCGAGGACTTCGGAAAGTGAGTGATTCAGTTCAGCGAATAAATTGATATTGGAAAAAACACGAGTTCACAAAAAATTTTCTTGTTTTACAGGAAAGCTAAGAAAATCATCAGGACTCAGAAGGACATTGAGGCTGAAGCTACACTCTGATTAGTTAGTTTTATAAAAAAAACAATCATTCCACATTTTTAATTTATTTACCTTTTTTTTAAAAAGATTTTAGATAAATTAACAGAGCTGGCAAAACATTCGAATTACTATTTGAAATATTTATGAACAATGACTATTTTGTAGCCATCAACTATCATACATGAAATAGTATTTAAATAGTTCGTAGAAATACTATTCGAAATGATTTTATCGCGTTTCAAATAATTCCATTTCATCCAAATCCTGTTTCATAAATAAATAAATAAATAAATATTGCTTAATGAACAGAAATAGTTTCCGTGAAATATTTATTTCAAATAGTAATTCTGTTCGATTCTCATGAAATAGTGGCCACCTCTGCTTAGAAAAATTATAGAAAGTTTTATAGAAATGAACAAACCGTATTTTTAAGATATTGTGAAAGAATTCTATGCAAATAGCAGGCTCTATGCAGAATAACCGATTCATCTGAAACTTTTTATTTATTCTGATTTCTCTTTATGTTGATGTAAAGAGGAATCGTTCCGTTAATTTCCAAAAGATGATCGAGTTCACTCTTACTTAATGCAAATGATTGTAGTTTCAACGTATTCGGAACATCTGAAGTAGAGATTTTTATGAGTGATCACCGTCGATATTGAATAATCACAGACACCAGTGGATCATAGAAAACATGGAACACGTATTTTTGTATAAATATTATTGCCTTGTAAGAGCACACCGACACTTTTGTATTTCACAACGTGCGTTCTCGATGTAAATAGATGAATTATTTTGTAATACCCGAGTGTATTTGTACATCCATTACCCCCTTTTATCCATCAAACCGTCATCTCGCCTGGGAAAATAATTTTTATCATTTTATTTCTCATTTCAATGATTTTCCAACAATCTCGTCTCCTGCGAATCGATTATTCTGTAATTGTACTGCTGTAATCACGCAATCGGGATTTAATCATCGAGTCACGTATGCAGAGAGTTGCGATGGTCAGGATCAGGTCTGTGGCAGTCGCAGTGGTTGTTAATGACAAGATTCTGACTTCGAAAAAAATAAATAAAATGCAGAAAGCACCCCAGGGGTGACACGTGCCTCGGGAAATAATCGTGTTTGTTGGAGAAACATTGAATGTACTTCCGCTGACCGGATGACTTTATTTAACTCCGTTAATAACGTAACGTTGCGATGAGGATTTTTTCAAACGTCTCATTCACGAATAATTTTAATAAAAATGGGTAAATTCATCTGTGATTAGATAAAATGGTTTTTACGATTCGGACTTTATTGTTCATTAATTATTCATTAAATTACTTGATAATCTCTTTTTCATTTTTTTTCAAACCATATCAAATGAAAAATCAGTCATTACAAAACAGCCGCCAGCGTAGGCTCAAAGAAAGTTCTAACGCCCAATGAAAAATATTGGAAAACATCTCAACGAAAAAAAAAAGATTAAAGTCCTTGCGCCCCCTCACCAGATTTTTCCGCCGGAAATTTAAATATCAAACTCCGACATCAAAAACCCCGAAATAAAACTCTGAAACAATTTAAAAAAAGATTGCGATAAAACATCAAAGTGTGACCTTTGCTTCAGGTTTCCCTCGATACAAGCTTCATGCAAATGACTCCCTCGATGAGACATATCCCCACGACGATAGGATGTGCTCGAGGAACAATGGACCGGGAAAAGCCTTCCTGCAGAGGCCCGCGAGTCATTCCTCCAGTAATAAATTTCATTTCCAATTAAACAATTAAACCAGCAGGTGTATATCCCTGAAATTTTCAAACCTCATCACTCACCGCTCGCATCAACGAATTCACTAGCCTCGGCGAAACAAAAAATTACCATAATCACGGTAATTTGAGGTTTGACAGTTGACAGGATCAGCCTGTTTACTGATAGATCAAACAAGAGAATTCATCGTGAAAAATGGGTATAATTCTGGCCGTTGCCGGCCGAGAGGACAGCAGACTAATGCCCACTGGCTATATAAGAGACCCATGTATCCGAGTGAATAACGTCATTCACGGTTAAGCCGTTCTCCAAGCAGTACCTGTTCTCTTTGGACTGAACTGTGAGTACGAAGGTTTTGACATTCTTTAAAAATAATGTGTAATTAACAATCTCTACTTCATCCGACCTTCATCTCAGCAAATCCTTCGGGGACATTCGAGTGGGAAAATTTACATAAAACAAAATATATTTATTCAATATATTTTCATGCAAAATATATTCAAAATCCTCTCCTTTCCCCAATGCATTTTTCGCATAATCAGGATGAGATAAAATCTAATGGCAATCGACAGTTATTCTCCGAGAACAGTTACGAATAATTTATTCTGTCATTTGTTGTTTGAAGTAATTGTTTCCTCGCTCTGTTTCATTGAGGAAACGATTGTCGATAGTTGACAAATCCTCGAGATTCATTCAATGTCAAATATTGGTCGTTGACATGAATGCGCATGCCTTCACAAAATCACTCGATCGTAATGAGGGAATTGTAATTGTTCGTGCATATTTCCGCACTCGAGACGACAATTTTTAAATGGAGAAAGTGTCCTCGGGTGTTACAAGAGCACCGAGCTGTTGCCAAATACTTTCCCGTCTCTTCTTCAACGCTCCTCCAATATTCAAATCAAGGTGTTTTGTTGAGTACGTAAATGTGGGATTCAATGGATCAGCTGGGATTTTTCACGGTGTTTTCATCAGCGGAGTTTAAAACTTGTTGACCTTGTTCAGAATTAATACCGGGCTCGGAGGATACATGGGTTAAGTACTTACATCAATATTCTTGACCTTATTTTGGAGATTCTCAAGGGGCAGGCAATATTTCTGGAAAATTCTTGAGAAAATCCATTTATCACCGAAGTTTAGACTCATTTATCGGCTTCGTCGCTTCGTCTCGATCCCGATTCATCAAGTTTGCGCTATTCATCATTGAAATGTCTTTGTTAAACCGTTGGGACAAAAAATGGAATAATCTCTCGCATGCAATAATTACGAGTTGAGTCATGAATGGCTTGAATTTGTTTTCAACTATGAAAAAAGGTAGCGTGTGTGTCTCACAATGGAGTAATACGGGTGTGGCAGGACGATTGGTTGACACAAAGGCCCGTATGTGCGAACAATGGCCTTTCGTTCCTACGTGCTGCTTCCAGAACGTTTGATGACAAAATCGAAAAGGGAAATAATGAGCACAACGCAAATCCAACTAATTAAGCCCCGGGAATAAATCGCAATTGTTTTCAATCGTCAGTAACTCCCATTGGCAGAGTGAAAATTGAATTCTTTTTTCATTTTCCAGCCTGAAAAAATATCTTCAAAATGAGTTGTGACTCACTCCAGTCACATCATTTGATCAGAAGATATCAATAAATTTATTTTAATTAAAATAAGTATTTTCAGGTTTTTTTGTCCCATTTTAATATAAAAAAATATTCTCAGGAAGATGAAAATGTGGTGCCTACTGATGCTCCTCGCGACAACGGTCGCAGCGGACCCGTTTGAAACCATAGCCTCATGGAAAAAGGTTGACTACAATTTTCCAAATGACGCGTTGCGAAAAACTTACGCAGCATCAGGCGATTACATACAGGATAACGTTGTTCCCCTTGGGTTAAATGTATGGGGTGACAAGCTCTTCATCACGGTGCCAAGATGGAAGAAGGGAGTACCAGCCAATTTGAATTACATCAGCTTGAGTGAAGCCGCAGCAGCCAGTAATATTTATCTCCGAGCATTAATTCAACATACAATTTTCAATCTTTATCTGGGATCAGGCGTCGTTAATTATTGTACCCCTCTATTTTCTGCTTCAGAGAATTCATCGCTGTTACTCAATCCCTATCCCGACTGGGAGTCCAATGATGTTCATTCACCTGACGCTATTGTTAACATCCTGAGAGTGAGGATTGATGCTTGCGATAGAATGTGGGGCATCGATAGCGGGGTTGATGATATCCTTGGGGAGTTCAACCAGGTTCACCCGAAGAAACTCATTGCTATCGATCTCAAAACGAACAAGGTTCTGATTTTTTTTTATCCTAAAGTGCAGAGAAAAGGAAAAAAATCCCTTTTTTATTGGTTTCAACGGGACGCGCAATTCAGAAGTTATTCATTTTTGAAAATTTAATATTGAGGGCTCGGTAGGGCAATGAATTTTGATAGAAGTGCTGCGGAATGTAACTAAAGTTTAGAGAAAATCCCAGCGAAATGGCTGGAAAATTTGATTTGATTTCTATTGAAATTTCTTAGTTTTTGATCGATTTTATTGAAAAACTCTCCAACGTCACTGCATATTTTTTTTCAGCAGGAAAGTGCAACGAAAAATATGTCGTTAACTATTTTATTTTGAAGATAACTATCGGCGTTTATTTAGACTGTACAATACTTGATAATTGATTTGATATCGAGCGTGACAATCTATACTGAGAAAAGAATTTCCTTTGTCAAGTACATTTACTTGCCACAAGTAAATGTATGTAAATATCTGCATAAGACATGTGTAAATTTTCTTGTAGTTAGTAAATATACTCAACAAAAGCTTTTTTTCTCAGTGTAATGATCCTCGCTGGCGAATATAAATATAATAAAAGGTAGCTCGGCAGACTGACGTCTGGAAAAAGTTCAGGTAGCTTGTAGTATCCTCTTTGACGAGTGAGCGATTACTGTCCTCCGCCGACCCTTGGGTCACGTATATGTCCCCTAGACATCTCCTCTTGTGACTTTCGAATTTTCAAAAGTTTACAGCCAATATCTTACAGACATGTAATGTCACAACCATTGTTCGAATAATTCCATAAAATAGCATACCAAATCCCGCTCGTTCCAGATTATCCTCAGTTACACCCTCAAAGAGAGCGATATCAAGCCGAACACCTTCTTCGCCGACACTGCGATCGATGTTGACCCGAAAAATTGTGACGACGCTTATGTATACAACTCTGACCTTGGTGCTAATGGACTCGTCGTTTACAGTCTGGCTAAGAATGACTCATGGCGAATCGAGCATAATTACTTCCACATGGATCCACTGAATGGTAACAGCATTGAACTTTAGTTCTGGTTACCTTTGTAACGAATATTTTAACACCCTTTCATCACGTAATCCAGGTGAGTACAATGTCAGTGGGCTGACCTTCCAATGGACAGACGGTATGTTCGGAATGGCCCTGAGTTCACCGAGAGAGGACGGCTCCAAAACCCTCTACTTCCACCCGATGTCCAGTATTCATGAGTTCTCGGTTTCAACTAGTCTATTGAAGAATCAAACTGCTCTCGCCGATTCTCATTACTGGGAGGAGTTTCATGTTGAAGGGAACAAAGGACCGAAGACCCAGGGCACTTCTTCGGCTATTGATACGGAAACGGGAATTATTTATTTCACTCAGGTCAACAAGAATTCAGTGGCCTGTTGGGATACACATGAGAAACTGAATCCCGAGACTTTCCGTAAGTTTTAAATTTCATTTGAAAACATAAACTATTTAAATAGGGAAATCCTTCAAGTTTATCGTCAATTATCCTATGCAATACTAATAGGGACATTTTTAAAAATATTCTTTTCAATTATTTTGAAAAAATATATGTCGGAAAAAACTATCTTTTATCATTCTAAAGATTAAGAAAATATCTTCGAAAGTAAACAAATTATAGGATGCAAATATTAGTTCTGAAATATTCCCTGAATCACACTAATAATTGATTCACGACGAATCCTATTTGCAGGTGTCGTAGCGCAGGACGATAACGACCTGATATTCCCCAATGACATAATCATCGACCCAAAGACGAGAAAATTCTACTGCCTCTCCGACAATTTACCAGTTTTCATCTACAGCAATTACAATTTCGAGGAAACCAACTTCAATATTCACAGCGCGTCATTGGATGACTTGACGGCAGCCTGTCGTGCACAAATCGAGCGCAAAGATGAATAATCATCATTTCGCGGGGGTTACCAACAACTTCAGGGAGTCGAACAACAATGAGCGTTAATTGTAGTCATTTGTAGGCTCGTAAGTTAGTTTATCTGTTTCACGTTACTTTTTTTTCCTCTTTTTTAACATTAAAAAATGGCTCCAGCTGTTAATCCCGGAATATCCTGGACTGTACATTTATGGCGGCTCGTTTCCCGGGTATTCTTGGTAGAAAACGGCCAGAGTTGTAATAAAAAATGATGTAAGAAAGAAAAACGGATTCCGGGGAAAGTTATGTCACCTGGGGAGTATCTGGAGCTGGATTGAGGGCATGAATTTTTTATCATCCGGTTAATGATGCAAATATAACGGGGATGAATTTTTCACTCACAATACCGGCGACGGAGGTACTCGGGTCTATCCTGAATTCATTATTAATAGTTTACCCCACGTAGACTGTATTCATATAAAAATGAACAGGAAACGGCAATTGCATTATAAAAACTTGAAAACATTGTGCAAGATAAGAAATGTGAATAATAAATAGATTGAAGGAAATGGAAAAAGAAGCAAAAATAATAACGAATAGGTAAAGAGAAAGTGCCGACTGAAAAGAAATCAACAAATAAACAGAAATACAGAGTCGAGTGGGGCGATGAGAACGAAACAGAATTTTCTACTCCGACACTTCCAGCTGATACATCTCAATACAATCATTGCGCATGAAATGACACTACTAAATGACATTCCCATGGAGGTAAATTTCTTTCTCCCGTCGATTTTGCAATTGGAGTGAAGAAAAAGAGGAATGAAGTTGATGCAATGTGAGAAGATAATCAGATTAATTATACCCCTAACTCAAATTGACACGCGTTTAATATGGATAAACACCACGTACCCTCGATTGACATACGGGTCATCACGTTCACGTAACCAATCACCCCCTGACGCACGATAAGCAAGGGTTGTCGTTACGTCACCTGCCCCCCGACCAAATATAATTCCAGAAGATGAATTTGCTTCGCAACCCAAACACTCCCTAGTTTACACTCAAGTCGTTATGCTAAGCAAGGAGCGAACGACTATTTTGGCAATAAAAAATAACAAGAGAGCTGAGTAAAATGGAGCAGCGTTGATGAAGTTGATAAGACCCGTGGAGAGAAATGCTGAACGCGATACTAGGAGCACACTCCCACGAAGCTAATTTCGGAGCTATTATCCAAAAACTCATAATTGCTACATCTTATCACTCCTGAGATACGCCACATCTATTTCGGGGTGATTTGCCCCGAAAGTTAGGAAAAGGAGGAGTCTAGAGGATAAAAGTTGCAGTGGTTCAGAACATAATTTAAGATTTTTATTCAATAACTTTGTTTCAAGAATCATTTGTCTCAATTTGATTTTTACAATGACACACGACTGATCGTGTAACAATATTTTGTAATTTATAACACATTATCGTGGACAATAGACCTAGACACTTCTAAAAGTAGAATTTTTCTCATTAATCCCCTGTCAACTTTATTTCACCACTTCGATCCAGCAAAACACGTGGCTCAGCGCACTGCGCCATAACATCCACAAGGCGACTGAAAAAACAGAGCCTCATACCTTCAACTTCGCCATTGTCTCGCTGACCATTATGGACGTGAACCGAATCAATTCCGGAATCTCCACATCGGAATGATCGGATAAGGAAGTACCTCCATGTACTTTACGACTGCTCAATCTTTTTTCGTTACCTTCTTTATTTGCTCGGCGTGGATGCCGACGACGCCCCAAGATTTGGCGTTGGACTGCTGCTACACGAACGACTCAGCAATCTGTGTGGCTCGACACTCAGAAAATTCGGATCGCATTGCGGCTGGGCATTCACTATCTCCGGTTCAACCGGACTTGTACAACGTCCTCGATTGCTGGTTTTCGACGTCGGTCTTGAGAGTGTGTGCAGGGGTATTGTGTAGATTCTCAGCGGTTTCCCATCGTTTTGAGAGTCTGGTGAATGTAAGGGGATTACTCATTGGAGTTGAAAAGGAATCAAATAATGTGGAGAGAGTTTAGATTATTGAGGATACAAAACAACCTATTTTACTGCATAATTTTTTTACGTTGTTTTTGTATATGAAGATATCCATCGGAAACGGGAAATTATATATCTATCAAATGTAAAATATCTTGACATTGTGGGAAGCGTCTACTGCGTATTAGCTACTGGGGGAGAAAACTGGAAAACGCGTAGGGTAGAAGACCCTAAAAATGGCCATCCCTAAAACAAAAAGGGGAGCTTTATACTATAAAATCTCACAAAGTGATTTGAGAGTTAAAGTTGACACAAGCTTATGCTAAAGAATGAAGTTACCGCAGAGAATCTGAAAACTTGAGAAAAACCTGGCTTGACAAATGGTGAATGTAAGGGAATTCCTTACTGAAGTTGAAAAGGAATCAAGTGATTTAGAACGGACCATTTTTAATCGTCAATATCTCACGACTAAATACACGATTTCAGTGAGTCAAGTTTCATTTTGAAAGCTGCAAAAATCCTTTAATAAAAAATCCAGTGAAACCTACTTTGAAGCCAATCTATTCGGCGTATTGTGTCATTATATTTTTCATAAATGATGATAGTATACATTAAAGATATTGCGATAATACTTCATTATGGATTGTATATTATACATAGTATATATATTATAGTATAGTATTATTGTAATATCTTTAATGTATGCTGTCATCATTTACAAAAAAATCTAATGACAATACACTGAATAGATTGGCTTCAAAAAAAGTCACACTGAATGTATTAGACATAAAAAAATAGAACAGATTTCTAAAACGGTCCCTTCGGAAACTTTGATATCAACTTCAGAAATCTAATATAAGATTATTCACTACAACTGATATATGTTAAGCCCCATCGCAAGTTATTGACGATAAAAAAACAACCCATTTCACTACATGATTCTTTACATCGTGTTTATATACGAAGATATCTATCGGAAAGGGGAAATTATATATCTATCAAATGTAAAACATCTTGACATTGTGACCAGTGTCTACTGCGTATCAGCTACTGGGGGGGACAACTCAAAAACACGTAGGGTAGAAGACCCTAAAAATGGCCATCCCTAAAACATAAAGGGGAGCTTTATACTATAAACTCCCACAAAGTGATTCGAACGTAAAAGTTGACACAAGCTGATACTAAAGAATGAAGTTACCGCAGAGAATCTGAAAGCTCGAGAATCCCCTTAACTTCTATAATAGCATTATTTAAAATAACTCACTCGACAAACTAGACTGTGAAGACGGTGGACTCCCACTCCTGTCCTCCTTATCCTTGGTATCAACCCGTATCCTCTCGCACTTGGCCAAAAATTCCGGTGCAGTTGTAGCAAAATAAATATCCCTCTTGGAGCTGATAAGCGTTAAATTGGGCATTGCAATAGTATGAACAAGATTACCATTAATAATTAACCGTATTTCCATAGTATCAGCAGTGAATGCGATAACATATGGAAAGGCACATGCAACAGCTATCGGTACTGAATTCCAATTGAAATCAAACTCGGTGGAGGCTGCACTCTCCTCCGATAATTTTTGAAAATGACAAGTATTATTGTAACAAAGTAACACTTCAGGCTCCTCGTCCTCCCTCAGATCGAGCGCCGCTATAATATGTGGCTTCATCGAAGCCTCAACATGAAGTGATCTTGTTGCACCATCAACTGAAATAAGTTCAAAATGATGTCGTAGACCGCAGCAGAGTAGCCACTCATTACCACCCTCTGTGCTCTCAATGATTGTCACGATATTCGGTGGCTCAGAGGCATTGTACTCTTTAATAAGTAAAAACCCATCAACAGTGTCTGTGTCAGCTGCTGAACACCATGTTGTCCAGGCTGCATTGTGCTTCCACTGGAGTAAAGTTAATCTTCTGCCCACAGCAACACACATACGTAAATGTGAACCCCCGGGTCTTGTTAAACTGTACAAATGACAACCACGTGTTCTCTCTAATTTTCTCTCCTTAACGTGAGAGCGTGTCCTTGTAATCTGCGGTCTTGGTGTTGACGCGTGTGTACCAAAGCTGTCCAACTCCTCGTCGTCCTCTTCAAACGAATAATCATCGATGGTGTGCGCCTCGTCACCGTCAAGTTCGCTCAATCTGTAAACGTGTACACCACACTCCTTTCCTTTGTCACCAGCTCGGAACAGCAGTATACCGTGCTGCTCAACGACATCAAGCTGCTTGATAAGTACAGTCCTGTCGAATAGCATTTTATTCTCCATTCCGTCCTCAACGAGAAATGTACCATTTTCCGTGGCAAGAACCAATTTATTCTCTGACCATATGTCACCGCATACAACTTCGTGTGAAAAATCGGGGTAGATGCAGCGGGGCTCCCAGGGTCGGGGCTTCAGTGGGCCGACAGTTGCCAGTGAAGTTGGCGCTAGACCTCGAACGATAGCTTCAAGTTTTAGTGCCTGGCCAACTCTAACCATTTCCACAACACGTGTTTCCTCTCTCCTTCTTCCTGGTGTTTCAACCACATCCGACAATGCACGTCTATTCAGCATACTCTGTAGGCATTGTTGTACAAAATTATTATCGTTATTAGGCCAATCAATATATTATCGTCTATCTATTGGTGTCGGCGGGGGTTGGAGGGGGGGGGGTTATTAATTGATCATGTGTAAGCGTAACAGGGCTCTCGGTATTTGATAATCCAGTGATAAAGTTTATCGCACATCTGGACGTGTCGGTTTTCAAATAATGGTGTATTTTCGTTGGATATGTTTGTGGGACAAGGGCAGAGTGGCTATTAATTGTACGGCTATTGTTGACAATGCTCGGAGAGAAAAATACGGGAAAAATTGTGTCGCTTGCTTTTCCGTTATCATCTGGTGTGACCTTCTAATTTGTATTCTTTTTCTCGTTCGTTTCTCATTTTTGGAGGAAGTAGTACGAACCGTCAGTTTGAGGAAATGCGAGTAATCGCCGGAGGTTGGGTTTGAACGGGGTTGTCCTCTGTCTATTTTCTTCACAGTCCAGAAAAGATATGAAGTAGGAGGAATCAAAATTATGTGATTAGGCTTTACAACAGAGCTTGGGCAAATTTGTAAAGTTCTAGGTATGTGGTGTGAATGCCGGGCATGAGGAGTTAAATTCGGTTCAAATTCTTTCTGTAGTTATTAGGTATTAGTTATGAGACCCATTGAAACAAGTTTATACACAGAGAGAAATATTCAGTAAAAATTACGGAACAATTCACGCAATCCGCAATGGGGAATCATTTTCCGGCAATTTTTATAGGAATGGAAGAGAGGAAATTTGAAACGTTCAGTGAATTCTCAGGTTCATCACCGAACAAAGTACGAAATTGTCACGTAATTTTTCCCGAAGGAATAAAAACTTACAGAAACTTGCCGACTTATTATGCCTCCAAAATAAAAAATTCGTGAACGTTCAACAATTTTTATGAAGCTGGTGAGTTGTCTCTACATTCCGTTCCGTAAAGTTTCTCAATCGTTGGGGAAAAATTACGGAACGACTTGGTGTCCCCACAGCGGTGAGTCATCAGACGGGTGGTTAATTTTTACGGAACAAATCGTAGAATTTACGTGGCGATTCGTACAATTTCAGTTCTCACTCACACTTTTTATTGAATTTTACTTCATTCGCGGATTACGTTTCGAAACGTAATTTTCACGTTTTTTTCTGGTAATTTTTATTGAATTCTAACCTCCGTGTTGACGGAATTATCGATCAATAATGACTTTGATCATGTTCTGTCGCATTGTCCAAAATATGAAAATCGAATTGTTCTATGCCCTTGACATCACTCTAAAAAGATATTTAAAAAATCGATAATAAGAGAAAATAATTAAAATGGTTAAATAATTTTAATAATTTTAATAATTAAATCATTAAATTATTAAATTAATAATTAATTAATTAATAATAGGTAATAATTGATTAATAATTAATTTATTATTTAATTTTAATAATTAAATCATTAAATTATTAAAATTGCAAATTTTCCAGATTTTTCTCTCCTCGCAGACGTACAAATGTACCTCTACGTGTATTCTGTATATTTGCTTACGTACTGAACTTACGTTCCCCTTGGCGTCCTGAGTGTGCTCCTGGTACAAATCACGGAGGAGTGCGTCCAGGGTGCGCTCCCTCTTCCGTGAAAACGTTGGTGTGTCGAATGTGGCTTTCTCACCGTTAATGAGTTTCACGAGGAGAAATTCACGGAAAATGTAAGGGTCGTCGAACACCGGTGGACAGGGCAAACTTGGACCGAACAGGGGAACACTCTCATCACAGTATATCGCTATTCGCCAGCGGTCGTTCTCCTCGCTAGTTACCACCGCAAAGACATCTGCAAGTTTAATCGGTGGAATTGAATTTCACTTGATGAATCGAAATGGCATGGTATTCTCGGAAGGGGAAACTGTTGGGGGTGAATTCGAATTCTCGTTGTATTACTTATGAAGCGGAAGTGAAGTCACCCCTATGTTTCGCAATTTTTCATCTTCTTGTAAAAATATTTATCTTCTTCATTCACTTGGTGAATCCTCGTTATGATACTGATGTTTATTAACGTTGAAAATGACAAAATTGATGTTCATTAATTTTTCCAAATTGCATATTCCATTTTTTTGTATTTTATAATGAATAGAAAATTGAAATTTATCAAGTAAAATAGATAATACATTGATTGTTCACATTTAAAATTCAATCTTCCATTAAAAAATGACTGTGAATTGAAAAAATATCAACGAATATCAGACTTCATCCCACGGAGTGATCAAATAAGACTGAATATTACATAATGCACCCATCAATTTAGTCATTTATTTAAATTTGATTGAATTAAAAGACTCACGAGTAAATTGACTCCTTATGCAGTTCGGATTGAACGTCTCCAAGACGGACGGATCATCCGAGTATATGATATTTACAATGTCATTGCCAATGTGCCTCTTCCTCTCCAGTTGTTGCGGATTGTCCTTAGAATGAGGTAATATCGTGCTCACGTGGTACATGACCTCGTGACCAGCATATACCGTGTAAACGCTCTCTTTGCCCGTCATATCACCTGCATATTTGAAGTGATAAAAAACGAACAAATGTGAGATGTCACACGACAGAAGTCAACTATCGATGGAATTTTCGGGCTTTTTGTCTTCTTTATGACGAAAAATAAGTCAAATGCATGCTTCACCTTTGATGTCTAGACCACCTCTGTACTTGTCCCAACCCTTGAGGCGTATCCTCTCCCCCAGAATCTCCAAGAACCTCTCGAAGCCCGGACTCGCTCTCTCTGAAAGCAAAAAATGGATCGATTAGGTCTCCTTCGCACTCTCGTCGCTCCGTCGAAGGTGCTCTGAATAAATGGCTCTTTTCAATTTTTCCATTTTTTATCGCAACTTTTCTACACGTGTGTGTGGATAAGTACCATTGGACAGCATCTCATCGTCGGTTGTCTGGCCCTCCCGGGCGTATATAACACCGAATTTGAAATTCACAGAGCCCTCTTGTTCTTCCAGCAGGAGGAGATCCTGGGGGAGAGGAAATTTGATGAATAACCGACCCTTGAGGGTGCGAAAACATCACGCGCAAATTTTTTTTTCCTTTACCTTCTGTATCTCCGGGGAAAATATCTCGCGTGGTGCTTTGTCAAATTTTTCTATTCCAAAGAAATTACTGAAAATTATGGGAGGCACTCATTATTTCTTACGTCGGGAGGGGTTTTAGGGGTCTCACGTACCTCAGTATTTGCTTCACTGTCATTGATTTGTTGGAGGAGTAAGGGAGAGATATCTTCTGCGCGCCCTGAAATTTTTTGGATGAAGAAAATTTGAATTTTTTCCGCGTTTTTGGAATGAATTTGTAATAAATGAATTGAGGGGGAGCTCGAGGGAGGCTTGGGGAGAAGGGTCATGAGGGTCATAATCTTATGTGTCCGACATTTATAGAGGCAAAACTCAAGAATAAAGTCAGAATTTTCAGAATTTATGCGGAAAAACGTCAACGTCAATGATGATATTCCTTATTAATTTATAAATATCATCTGTAAACTCATTTCTACAATTGGTATATCCTATATTCCATTTAGATTAAATGAAATCCGACACCCGAACGATCCCGGAGGGGCTGAGCCCCCCGGAATTGACGAGGGACGCGAGTGGGGGGCGCAGCCCCCTCGCACTTAAATCCTATTAATCTGAGAATATTTTTGGACGTATTACCACAATTTTTAGTTGTATTATCAGCAGAAATTCTTCTTTCTATACGACTCTTTCTGTTGAGATATTTTATATAGGAATTTCTCGAAATGAACTTTCCTTATTTTTTCGTTAAAAAAATCCAACAAAAAACTTGAAAAGTTTGAGCCGAGGAATTTTGTATCAAATTCGTTAGGCTTTATTATAAAATTCTCCGTACGGAAATAGTGGTCTCTAGGGTCAGGATCATGTGGGTCAGAATTTTGAATGTTCACTATTCATTTATTTATGTAAAAAAACGAACGTAAATTATGGTATTCCTCATTCATTTATAAAATATCCTCTGTAAACGCACTTTTACATTTGCCGCACCCTATATTCCATTTAAATTGATGGAAAATATCAAATGTAACACCCGAATGATCCCGGAGGGGCTGAGCCCCCCGGAAATGCCGAAGGACGCAAGCGGAGGGCGCAGCCCCCTCGCACTTAAATCTTATTAGTCTCAGAATATTTTTAGATATCTTACCGTTCGCCTCCACAGAATGACCCGATAATGAGGTACACATTGATCCCCTCCGTCGCTTAATACAACAGACAGGAATAGCGGGTTTCTCTCGTGATCCGACGCCACGTAATTCTGGTGAACTGATTAAAGAAGAAAAAGCAAGTGGGTAATTCCGCACTTTTCGGGACATGACGCAGCTATTCGGATGCAAAGAGAAGTGTCAAGTACAGAGATCTTATGGATTCGATTTGCATGGGTTTAACATTGAAAAACATAATCTCATTTCCGGTGATGGGTACGTCCTGAAAGTTTAATCCAAGTCCCACGGACATTTTCGTACTCACGCTTTCCCAGGAAATATTTGAAGTACCAACGGGTCTGATATTCGGGATTCTCGAGGACTGGTGTACTGGGTGAGCCGAACATCTGTTGAAATTTAATTCACGAAAGTTTAGAAGTTTTGGGGGTTGTGTTTCAAGGAAAGTATCCTTGGGGTTCTTAATTGGCTTTGAGCGGAAAAAATTTACATGTGCAGAAACTTGTAACAATATTATTTTAAATAATAGAATGACAAAAATCTCACAGGAAGACCTAGTGAATTAGATCACTAATTTTTAAAGGCAGCGTCTATTCGCAATTTCAATTGAACGCCTGAGTTGTAGACCCGAGTTTGTAGCAGCGATGTCAGGCAAGATAGGAATGTTTTTTTGGGCTCAAATGAAAGAGCGGGTCGAAGAATGGCGTACTAGAGCCTCTAAACATGACAAATGTCTCTAAAGATGATGTCTGTTTTCAATTGAAAAGCAGAGTTGTGACAACATTGTCTAGGAGGACAATGGGGTCTAGGAGTATGTATAGAACATTGGGGTCTAGGAGTCTCCTCTGGTTTAAAACCATCTTTAGAGGCATCAGCACGCCATTTCTCGACCCGCTCTTTCATTTGAGCCCAAAAAAACATTTATATCTTGTCTGACGTCTCTGCTACAAACTATAGCAAAGAAACCAGAGAGGTGTAGGTGTAGGTGGAGAGGTGGAGTTCTCTGATCGAATATGTTGAATCTACAAAAGATATTCGGATATCCTTAAAATAGTGTAATAACGGAATAAAATGTCAATTCTATTAAAATCCGATGAAATACGAAACCGAACGAAAAACACTTGTTCATTTATAATCCTCTAATTAATGAAATAATTGTTCACCTCTTCTTTTTCCCCGGGTGAATCGCCATTCTCCACCCTGAATCTCCTCCCATTCTCCATACCATCCTGTTCAATTTGTGGCAGCTATAATGTAATACCCCGGGGAATACCGGGGTAAACAGCAAGTTAATTTTAGTCTAGAAATGGAGTTGTGTTTGTTGCTCCGGAGTTGTTTGAATTTTACCATTTCAACGCTGCCATAGCACCGTCGGGATAGAACTCCTCGTCGTGAGGTCGTGTCGGTTGATGATCTGCAAATAAAAAGGTGGGGGGGAGGCATTAGTTGGAACTTTCTACTTGGGGTAATCCGTTTAGAGTGGTAAACATTCAGACTCGGGTTTTCGTTTATAAATTGACACCCACTCGGAAAGTTCGGTCATTAATTGGGGTGGAGTCGTAACCACTGAATGCTAATTTGGACTCCAACTTTTTGGGTTGTTATTAAAATATCAGGGGCAGGTTGGAACCTTGATTAACATTTTCAGCTTTTGAATTATTCTGGATTAAATGGAAGAGGTAATTTTTTTTCTTTTGCGAGTGCTCAGGATTTAGCGAGGAAGGATCATGAAATTTAGAGTTTTTGTATTACTGGAAAATAAGAATTCTTTAATTTAATTTAATTTTCAGTGCACATGAATTTTTTAATTAAAAATTGTCGCGTTGAATCAATTTATTTGTGGACAAAAAAGAAAGTTTCCACCAAAACATGATAGCTTTTGGAGTAGTAATCGTTCTCGTGAGACATGTATATGTCTCTCGGGTAAATACATTCGTTCCACAGAGAATTATTTGAGGCTCCGGTTTTATCAAGTGAATGTTAGTGAGTAGTGTATGTCTTTGTTCAATAAATACTTATAATTTCCATGGAACAAATGATAATTTCAAGAGGAAACTACAATTTTCTTGCCGAAAACTGTGTTACTGGCAACACTAAATAATTTCGAGGGGTATTTTTTTATAAATATCACCTGTGGAATTCTCTCAGATCAAATGATTATCGTAGAATATATATATATAAATATTTTTTCCTGCCAACAGTTGGAATTCTTCTAGGGATATTTCTGATGATCACGACAAAAATTTAATTTTTGTAAAAGATATTAAATTTTTTTCTATGAAGTTGGTTAATTTCCCTCAAGTAAATCTGTTCTACTTCATCAAATATTTCTATTAATTTTCAGTCAATAATTGAACTAAAATTGAGTAGTGAAGTGGCCAATCGGTTTAAGTCAACGTACCTCCCAGTTGAGTTTTTGTTGAATAACTCGGAATTTAGGAAAGATAACGAAATTTTTGTCAAATCTTTTTCGATAGGGTTTATTTTTCTCTACAAAAAAGATTTCAAGAAAATTTCGCTGACTCCTTTAGAATTTGAGATATTCATCGAAAACTGACGCTAGAATGGAATTGAATTAAACCAATTCAAATTTCACTAAACTTCAATTTTTTTTAACATTTTTTTTAATTTAAAAATCAGCATTGCGTTAAGAATAATCAAAAATCTGGGTCTCAATGAAAATTATTGCAAACGTTTACATATTTTCCGGATTTTTCGCCGGAAGATTTCCGTGTCACAGCCGCATTCAGAATTCTCTCTGCTACGCCGGACGCGTAAAATGTCAAATGAATGATAATGCATTTTTCATGTTCATTACTCAAACATTGACAGCAATGTCACGTACAATTCTTCAAACTCAATTGAAAAGTTCAAGTTCACGCTCGAATATTCAGCATTAGCATCCTTGACACGATCTATATGCCCTCTAATTTTCAATATGAGGAGAAAATGTCATGGACGTTTTCATGTTAATTGCCATTCAATTTCTGGGAGTCATGTAACCGATGGAAATTGTCAACTGTGGGCACAAAAATGAGCATGTGAGGTAATTGATGGGAAGGGGTAATGTGGCTGATTAAACGTTGTTAATGACCTCAATTGGCGATCCGACGTCAAATTGTGGTAATATGGAATTTGCGGAGGGATTCGATGGGAGAAAAAATCATATTCTGCAGCTCAAAGTCATAATTTTATCTCACAACCATGAAAAAAAACAAAATTCATTCCCAATTATTAGATTTTTCCATTGAATCAAGCGAGAAAGTTTTAAAAACAACTCGATTCAATTTCGAAACATATTAGTTTTTTTTAATATGTACCTCTCATGAATAAATAATTAAAATAATTCAATATATTTAATATAAAGAAATCAATGAATAAAAAAAAAGATTTCCAGTTTAAAAAAGTGAGCAGTTAATAGTTTAATCAAATTAATTAATACAATACATTAATTTCTACCGTTAATTTTTAATATGATCTCCAATGTTTTGCAATAAAAAATGAACATCAAACTGCAAAAAGTTTCAGTAATAAAATCTCTGCTGAATTAAAATGAAAAAAAATCGCTGAAGTATTCGTTGCACCGTTAAACTCCAAAACATTCCGTAACTGAGGAGACGTAAGGAGCATTGTTATTTTTAGATGCTCTTATTAAAAACCCAGAGGTAATTCGACTGTAAAGTACACCCTGCAGACCCGTGTCGGAGTCAGCCCCTGAGGAGAATTGTTGAAAATACATTTTTCAGGGTAAATGTTCCTCTCTTGTTTTCACGTTAAAAGTTGAAAGTACATGAGGTTGAGGAAGCCATCGAGTTTTAATTAGTCTCCGAGATGTTATGAAAATTCCTATCTGTGAAAGATTTCAGTCGAAAAAAATTTAGGAAGTTATTTAATTTTCTGGGGATTTTTTGGATAATTCAAGAAAATTGTTCTTTTTTCAAAAAAATTGATTCAAAACATTTTCCTTATTTTTCAACAATTACGGCTATGTATCACTCATTTTTATTAATTTATTTTTACTAAGTAAATGAAGGCAGTGAATATTTTTCTAGAATTTCCGGGAGATAAATTCTAGAAAAAAGAGAGAATTCCCCAGTTTCTTGGAAATTTTTTAGAAAATGTCGATTTTTTGCACTCGAAAATAATTTAGAAAATTATTTCATTTTCTTTCAATTATTTAATTTTTCGTTTATAATTACAAAAAAATGTTTACTTTTCTAGAAAATCGATCCATAATACTTCCCTTATTAAAAAAAATTATGGGTATCGATTAGGTCACTGAAAAGTGAAAGGGAATTTTTATAATGCATTTACAACTCTATTAATGTTTAATACATGTGAAACTTGAATGAAGAGAGTGAATTCTTTTCACATTTGTTCCCATGATTTTCGTTTAATTATAAATAATTAAAAATAACAAGTGAAATAATGAATAAAAATAGACATAATGACGAATATACTATATAAATAATAAAGAGAATGAACAAAATTCCCAGTGCATGATTTGAGAGAGTGGTAGAAAATGTGAAAAATATCTGTTCCATTCTCATTTCCAAACAACCAGATATCCTACCATTTTTCTCTCCCATCCAGAACGCCGAATAAAACCGTTTCTCAGCGGTATATACGTTACTCTCGAGTGAAACTCATATGCTCCTCGCGCAATAAATTGGAAAATACACTCCACCGTGACAAATTTTTCATTCCACCCCAAAATGAATGAAAACAGCCTGACTCCCGCAGACACGATAAAATAAATGGGGGTTGATTTATGCCAGTGACCCTTCTCCCCCCGATTTTTCGCCCACGGGATTGTGTTATAAACCCATTGACAGGCACATTTATAAAAAAAAGGGTATTTAAATCGTATAAATTTATCGGCATTTGAGAGTGATCCAGTGATTTATCGACACGCGTGACGTGTTAATTAGAATTCAGAAGTTTTTGTTCATTTTCACCGGCGGTTTTTCTCATTCGATATTCAATACATTTGAATTTAATACCGGAGTTAATTGATGAATAATTAATTACGTGGATGCTTCACGTGGAGTGAATATTCACGGGAAATATAATAAATTGTAATTAATTGTTGACTTAAACAAACGATTCACCAAGTTTCAAAATTATTCTGTTGATTTCTGTCAATTCATTTCGATCGAATGAGATTTTTTTTATTCTAGAGATGATCATTTAACAAAAATATTGTCATTAAGAAATAAAATTAAATATCATCAAATAATTTGATGAATAAGTCTATTTATTTATTTAGGTAATAATTAGTTAATTAACTTTATGGATCTGCAGATGAATAAAAATTAATAATTAACATTAAATTTGTGTACAATACTTTCTGAACTCCGATCATTAATGAAATATGAAAAAATCATAACTGAACATGAAATATGCAATTAATTAATTAATTTAGGAAACATAATCAATTGTAATTAACTCTTGATTTTAACGAACGATTCACCAAGTTTAAAAATTATTCTGTTGATTCGTGTCAATTCATTTAAATCGAATGAAGGATTTTTTTTCCAGAGATAATTATTTAACAAAAATATTGTCATTGAGAAATAAAACTAAACATCATTAAATAATTCGACGAATAAGTCTATTTATTTGTTTATGTCATAATTAATTGATTAATTCTATGGAACTGCACATGAATAAAAAATGATAATTATCATTAAATTTTCGTGCAATTCTTTGTCACCTGCAATCATCAATAAAATATTAACAAAATCGTAACCGAGCATGAAATATTCAATGAATTAATTTGTGAATTTATAACTGAACTTGATTAATGAATTAATCATGTTGTTATTCCAGAGAATATTATTTGACAAAAATATTTTCATTAAGAAATAAAATCAAATATAATCGAATAATGATAAATAAGTTAATTTGCATATTCCTTTAACAATTAATTGATAAATTTTAATGGCCAACATCTGCATAAACAATAATTCTCATTAAATATTCACGCGACATTTCCTCAACTCCAATCACCAGTGAAATGTCAAAAAATTAATAACTGAGCATGAAATGTTCCATTCATTAAAAAATACTCAACGCCTCCGTCCCTCTCGCGCCGGACAATTTTCCGGGCATTTTTTGCTTCACCGCCCTCACTCGAGAGATCGTCACGAAAATATCTGGGTTAATGAGAACTCCATCGGGTCTGTACTTCCGCAGATGGACTACGCGACGATCGTACAGAGGAGCTGGGATAATAAACTTCGGTGAACTCTTGCGTCAACTATCGATTCTTCGGGTAAGGGCCTCCAATATCGCTTCAACTCGCGAAGTTTGTGGGGAAGGAGAGCCGAAGTGGAGTGATACCGTTGTGTGGAGACACTAGTCTTTATGGGGTGACTAATAAAATGCCTGTCAGAGGCGTCACGCGATTTG